TGAGTGTCAGAGAGTAGGGCATCCATGAGCAATCACGCCTGGAGCTGTGGGACATTTGGCCAAAGGGCAGTGGTCAGCTTCGGCACCCCACCAGGTTGGACCTAAAATGTCGTAACTTTGGAGGGCAAAGTAGAGAACCACTCCCATGAAAGCAAGGCCAGCATCCAATGCAGCTGAGAGAATGTAAGTATGGCGAGCCCACCATGACTTGAACTTATTGTAAATGTAAAAATTGAAGAAGATTCCGGTAGCTCCCCAGGTTATGTAGTTCACAGTTCTCGCCGGAGGAATACCTCCGGCACCCATAATGATGAGGGGCATGTTGATGAGTTCAATCCACCTCTTGTTTGGGTATTTCCGAGCAAAGAACCACACCGGAACAGGAACAAGTGCACCGATCAGGAAAAACCAATTCATTCCAGGGTAAATTCCATCCTTGGTAAACATTCTCTTTGGACCCACCACTCCCCATATGATCGAAGCATTGTAAAACACATCGTCACCAGGGCACTGCCATGGACTATTTTCTGGCAATTTTGATTGATCACAGATGTTTAGAACAGTCGTCAGAAGCCACCATGCTGTTCCAAAGTACACAGATGAAGCAACCACGGTGCCCACCAACTGCACGACGAACATAGATTTTGGAGGGATTTTCATATAGTGGCCTAATTTGAAGTCACCAAGGAATGCGAGTGCCTGTGACATGCTGATGTAGCCGTATGTCTTGAAGGCTACATTAGCAAGTGGCTTTCCGGGGTAAATGTACCCGATTATCAGCTCTGTGATCACGTTCAGCCCTGCTTGCTGCAAAACAAGTTCCAATCTTTCGTGAGAAAGACAACTTTGAAGCTATGGGAAACTGTAAAAACTGTAAAAATGACGTTACCATGTTTGTTGTTGCTTGAATTACTCCAACTGGCAAAGTGAAAACTAACGCAATACCAAGAGACATCAGAACTCCCCACCATGGCAGCTGAAGTTGCTTTCCAAAGCCTTCACAAGTTATCAGCGCCACAACTACCATTAGAGCCAAAATGCTCGCAAACCACCACTCAGGTACTTGTTCATAGTTTTTCTTCATGATTCTCGTGTGCACATCTCCGAATGTTTTTTCTTTTAGTGCAGATGTTGTCTTCTTCCACATCTTAACAATCGTTCTTCCAAACACACATCACGACAAAAGTTAGATGACTTTAACCAATTTATCCAAGTAAACCTGTAATTCTAATAGGAGAACAACACTGATAGAAACACACAAAAACTAAAAAATTGCATCCGATTTTTTGTTTGTAGTGGTGTATTAAATATTTAAGCTTTGTCAGAAATCTCAAACTGAACACAACTTACTTTCCATGGAAGAGAACAACATGCGAAATGGTGGCGGTGAGAGAGGCAAAGCTCAATCCATAATCGAATGCAAACGTGATACTAAGATAGAGCTTGCTGTAATTGTTATAACTGTCCATGTCGATGTCAAAACTTTTAGCATTGAGAATCCGAGTGACATTATATTTTTTTCCAGTGGAATCAAAGGTGTTGGAACTGATGATGGGGAACTTCTTGGCATCATATACGTTGTTCCAATATGAAATGGGAATCAGAACGTACATAAAGAGGACAAATCCAACCAGTGTGTTGATGATGGCAAAGCCAGGTGTAGCCAAAGGGGTCCCCAAAAACCCAGCCACTGTGTTCCAGTCAAGGCCAAATGAACCAATGCCAAGCCCAGTAATACCCGAACCAATTTGTTGAGCAAGGATGGACTTTTTCCAAACTAAGCAAACCCACGAGATTGTTGCTAGTCCTGGGAATAAATAACCCGGAATGATGTAATAAGCAAAACTTGACACAAACACCAGCACAAAGAATTGCAGTCTTGTGTTTCCTCCTTTAGGCCTTTTCTCCTTTTCATGGAATGCCCTGCAATTCAACAAATTCATAACACCATAACACCATAAGAAGGTACTTTTCTCTATAGTTTACAAAATAATTTCTCAGTAAATGTTAGTGCTTAACATTAGCTTTATTATAATAAAAAAACCATCTTTCGTTCATATATCCATTAAAAGACAAATATGCATAAATCACCTTCAAAGAATAATAAAATACCTGAATAAAGACACCTGGACAAGGTTTGAAGGCCACCACATGTACGGGGAATCAACGAGGAATTTTCTGAAAATGCCAGCCCATCCATAACCAAGCATCTAAAAATTTAAGGACACACAGATTAGTGGCCTAAACAAATCTGAATATGCTTGTTGTTTCGGTTAATTGCCTTAAAAGTATAAGAAAATTATCAGATTCCTTTGTTTGATTTTCACCCCTCTTTCTCAATGTTCTTCCCCTCGTCTCCACTCAAATCATTTATCCAACTGAACAATTTCTCTCTCTATTCCTTCCACCCACCACCCACAGCACTATCTTTTTTCAACAAAAAATTGTTACTTTCAACAACCTAATGAATTAATAATCACTGTTCACCTGGGTGGATAGTGCGAGAAGGAAAGCAGCCATTGGGTGGATGCTCCTGTGGTAGAAAGCCTTGACAATAGTGATAATGTTGATGGCATAAACACCACTAGATCCAGCACTGGCAAAGATGGTGATGAGTGCATGCTCCTTTAAAGTGAATGGGCCAGGGTTCATAGAGAACGACCACTTGGTGAAAGGAAAAACATATGCTTTGGTCGGAAGTGTTCTGGCCATGAATTTGCCAAGAGGGAGAGAAATAATCTGTGCGGACACAGAAGAAATGTAAAGAGGGGTGGTTCTGTAACCAAAGAATTGGTTGATGAATGCAAGGACAACGCACGAAGCTATTCCCAAAGTCCATGTCCTGAATGTCAGCACAGGCTGCGTAGGGTCGTCGGTTATTGGAACCGTCAACCTCACCTGCTCAATCGGAGAGTCATCAACCTCTTCTCCTTCATCTGCAACATAACATTAAACAACATTCACCTTCATTATCAAAAACAAAAACCAGACACAAAAACGTAGATACAAACAAAATAGCAACAGATAATAAGAATTTTAAAACGCTTCTACACTTTTGGTCACATTCACGAGAATGTTTTTGCTAAATAATTACTGTCTCATTTAACTTTACAATCTTTTTGAAAAACCCTCGTGACTGGCTGCCCGTGGAAAGATCCCCAACACCCAACACAGTGCAATGCGCTACACAGCACTATTTGTTTGCTTCCAAACAACGTTGTGAGAACAGATAAAATCATTGAAAATAATGAAGCTTTTTTTAATATTTAAATATGTAATTTTGTTGTTGTTGTGATTATGCAATTTCATGCTCAAAATTCAAGCATCCTGCAGATAGTTGGTGATAACAGCATGGGTTGTATGTTATGGCATGTACATGGAAACGTATAGCAGAAGTATGTAACGTTTATCTAAACATTGAAATGTTACCAGGCATGGCTACTTCGGAGTGGTTTTTATTGTCGAACTCCTCAGCCATTGCAGAGGATCTGGTTCAGGAAATGCGGATAGGACTTGGAGACCCTCTTCTCTCTCTCTCTTCTTCTCTTACTTCCTTCTTCAGGCACGAGAAGAGTCACATTGTCGGTTTGATTTTATAGGAGGTGGGAACGAAACCAAACAGTTCCAATGAAAATGTGTCTGGCTGCAATAGCGGTGCTTATTCGTGATTGACATAAGCATAGAAATCAATTACGACAATAAAATCTGTTAAACCTAATCAAGAAACAAAATCAAAACTTTTAAGGTTATCTTAACAGATCTTGTTTATCACATCTACGTTTTTTTTACACATCTGTACGCAGTAAATAGTGAATAGTGTAGGTTGACTTCATAAACAGTCATTCGGACCACAGTTTCAATCTTTTGATTTGTAATAGAAAGAAAATTACTTTTCTATACCATTTTCTTACATTGACAACCTATATTTTAGTCATTATAAAAATTAATTTTTATATTTATTACAAAATTAAAAATTGAAAAATAAAATAACAAATATAAAGTGTGTGTAAAAATTTATTGATAATATCTTTACCTGAAAAAAATCAATCACAATTAACATTTAATTTTTTTTTATGTATCTATCTACACCTATATCAATATCTATATATATATATATATATATATATATATATATATATATGTATATATATATATATATATAACCTTTCACTGGTTGCTAACATGATGATAGTTTACACAAAATTTATAAAACATAAAAAAAAAGATAATTTCATTTAAAAATGAAATATAA